TCATCTTCACTACTAGCATCCCTCATTTCATAATCATTGTCAAAGAATTCTTCATACCAATTAGTATAATACCCACTATCCTCATTACCCTAAACATCATCAAATGAACACCTTTTAATTTGTCAACCTCAACAAGATTACCCTCCACAGCAATATTATCTTCACTTAACATCATTCTGACTCCTAGTCCCACTACCATCCCCAACTATTATCATCACCTACGTCATTATGATTCTTAATCCAATTACCAACCCCAACAAGATTATCCTCTTGAGTAACATTCTCTACACCAGCAATATTATCATCACCTACATCATTATGACTCCTAATCCCACTACCAAACCCAACAAGATCATCCTCTTGAATAGCACTCTCTACACCAGTAATATTATCATCACCTACATCATTATGACTCCTAATCCCACTACTAACCCCAACCAGATTATCCTCTTGAGTAACGCCCTTTACACCAAAAACATTATCCCCACCCTCACTCTCAAACCCACTCTCACTCCCACTCTTAGTATCACTGTCACTCTCATCTAAATCCACCCAGCTACCTTCAACAGACAAATTAGAAGGTTCAGAAGTGCTGAAAACTTCAACAAATACAGTTAACTCCCTTTCAAATAAGTAGCACTTTGCCCAAATTCTAATGTCATCATTCCCTTCTATCCTTCTCAGATTCAACCCAACTTGTATGAAATATCTCCTATCACCAACCACACCAAATTTTGTGGAAAACATTTTTAGTTTCTTTTCAGACATTTCATTAGTAGGTACAAAATCAAACACCATTTTATGGCCACTTTCATACACTCCAAAGTCTGACTTCTGGAATTTACCACCACACCACAAGATGACAGTGATTAGGTCAGTACTTCGATCTGTGCATATAGAAAGAAAAAAAAATAGACAATAAATATTCACCTAATATAATAACAAAAATAGGTGGGGAAACTATTTTCAAAACAGACAAAGAAACATAATAGCACATGGGGTCAACTAATTTGGAATAAACAACCCTCAAATCGGAGAAGGGGACGTGATTTCAAACTCATAATAAAGAACCCTAAAAACCGACTAGGGTTTTGAAAAAAATCGAATAACATACCGTAGCTTGGATTGGGGAAATCCCAGTAACTTTTCGATCTGATTTTGATTTTTGTCTCCATAGATAAACTCAGGAACGAACATCTATAATTTTGGATTTTGCAGAAATTTGGGATGGAATTAGAAGGAGAGATTTGTTTGTAATCGAAAACGACCGCCTGCTTTCTCTTCTAAGTTTAGTTTAATCCCGTATATGTGTGACCGTCCATTTTCCCTCCAATTTCGTCCGAGGTGGCAATTTACTTTGCCATCGCATTTTTCCTTTTTTTTTCATTTTTTATTGTTTTTATTATCCACGTCGCGCAGGGTGCAGGCCACGTCGACATTAATCGGGCGAAAATGAGTCACGTGGCCGGCACGTACAATTTCCGGCCAAAAATCCCCAAAAATGACGTGAGAAGAACTTAAATTGCGTAAAAAAATTTAATTGTGGGACTAAATATGCCACATATTTATAATAGAGGGCTAAAATTGCACAGACATCCAAAAGTCAGGACTAGAAATACATTTTAGCCTTATTATTGCAAGTGGTTTCTCCACCTATGGGAAGATGAGAGGAGGGGATTTGATAATGGTTAAAAATCCTTCATTAATTTATACTTAAATTTAGCATTGCAGCCCGAACGGAAATGGGGTGGACGACCGGCCGTTGTGGCCTCCACCATATTGATAGTGAGTTCACTACTAATAAGCCATTATTTATTATTTATATAAGAGCCCATATATAATTATTTCAGGCCTCAACTCAAATTAACTTATAAAATCCATGATCCCTCTATAATTGTTTTTATTTTATTTTATTTTTTCTTCCACTTTTTTCGAAAAGCAGACCATGTTGAGACATTCCCTTTATATTATAATATATATATATATATATATATATATATATATAATTCTTCTGCTCTAGAAACGACGAAAAGGTCTACTAAGTCCATGTGCTACCATAATTACTTAATAGATAGATAGGAGAATGCTATTATTCCGTTATTGGATGGTTCCGTTGTGTTTTGTAGCCGTAGATTATCTATACATTCATAGATTACATGTATATCTACGACTACAAAAGAAAACGGAACCATGTAGATTATCTATACATTACTAGATTACATGTATATCTACGACTACAAAAGACAACGGAACCATCCCGTAACGGGATGGGGCATTCTTCTAATACATATAATTTATGTGCCTAAAAAGTAGAATCCCTTTTTGGGTTTTAATTTTGGATTTCATTTATTCTTTTTGTCCTTATAAATTTACGGTTTTCGCAGCTTTGTTTGTATAATTGCATAACAAAGCCTTCAATATCATAAAGAAAAGCCATTGTTGCTACATTTACGTAAATATGGAAAAAGTGCATGTTTTTTCCCTTATTGTTTCACTTGTGTTGTCGAGTTTAGCATTTGATGGTGGTTTTGCCGGAAATGCCAGATGTCCACAAATTGGATTCGATAATATTATATTGAAGTTAGGCCCAGTAAGGCTCTGAATTTTCATCTTTCCATTTTTGTTACTTTTTTCACTTTTTTCCTTGCGAAATAATATATTGCATTATATGATATATACATTGAGTTTACTAATATTTTTTATTTTTATTTTTTAATTTTAATTCCTCAGAAGCTCATATGTTTTGGTTGCTTTACAAAAACTGCGCTCACAGTTCAACAAAGCCATTACCTACCATTCTCTGTCTAGCCGGAGGACCTGTCAGTAATTTTTAATGCCAAACAACATGTACATTTGTATTTAGAGAAATACTACGGTTCCGTTACGGAACCATTCCGTCGGGTTAGTAACCGTTAGATCAACTATCTCCGACGGTTACAAGATGATCTAACGTTTACAAACCCCGACAGAATAGTTCAGTAACGAGACCGTAGAATTTCCCTTTTATTTATACATCTAATTAATTTAATAAAGACACGTTCAATTAATCAATTAATTTATTTATTTATTAGGGTCTATCTGCAGTTGGGTTTAGCAATCTTGCAGAAGTTGGGCCAATGGATATATATTTGAATCCTAGAAATCAAACATGGCTGAAAAAAGCCCACCTCTTGTTTGTGGTAACTAATTAATTTAACTTTTTTTTATATTGTATTGTTCACTAATTAATGTATTTTTGTCTATTGAATATTAATTTATATAAATATTATTATTATTATTATTACTATTATTATTATTATTATTATTATTATTATTGTTAATTTATGTAGGATAGTCCAGTTGGGACAGGTTATAGTTATGTGGAAGATCCAGAAGTGTTGGTTAAAACAGATGAGGCTGCTACAGAAGATTTACTCAATGTGCTGATTAATGTATTCAAAAGACTAAAAGATTTACAGAAAACCGATCTTTATATTGAAGGGGAGTCTTATGGAGGAAAATTAGCTGTTACTTTGGGTTTATCAGCACTCGATGCTATCAAAGATGGAAGATTAAACGTCTGTCGTCTCGGAGGTACAAGAAAATTTATTAGAATATTCACTCGTGAGTTGTCCCACATCGTTTTTACTTGGGCTTCATCCCCTGGTGTGCATACTTCACGTGCGTGAGATTGCACCCGTTTTCCCCCATTTCTTACACAAATCAATTATCAACACGTGGAATTTTACATAATAATAATAATAATAATAATAATAATAATAATAATAATAATATAAAAATCACAATTAATATTAGTGTTCTAATTTGGCATAAACATATGAGACATTAATTTGTTAATTATAGTTTAAATTTTTGATATATTGAAACTTTTTTGGATTAATTAACAGGAGTTATAATGGGGTCTGCTTGGATATCACCAGGTGTTCAAGTGGTAATTAATCTAATTAATTACAATTTATAATATAATTAAATTAATTAATCAGTAATCATGATTAACTAATTAATTAATGCAGCTTTCATGGGGTCCTGTATTAAGAGATGTCTCTAGGCTGGATAACAATGGCCTAGATAAGGCACAAAGGTCTCACACTTATTACCTCTTCTACAAAAGAGTTAATTTAATTTAATTTATTCTATTTATTTATTTAATTATTTTTCATATTTCTGGCTGATAAGTTCATTTAATTTGTAAAAAAAAAAAACAGGTTAGCAATTAAAATAAACGAACAAATTGGTGCTGGCAAACTTGTGGAGGCATATGATTCTTACAATGATCTCAAAGATCGTGTTATCATTGACAATAGTAATGGAGTGGTAATTAAATATTTCAGACAAAATTGCATTTTCAGTACTGCTGGTTTAATGCCGTAACATTTTTAATTTCAAGATTTTAACTTTTTGTCTTTTAATCCTGTATTTTAGTATTTTGCTGTAATTTCAGTCTATTTCAACAAAATTTAAAATTACAGGACTAAAATTGGTGATAAAAAATTCATCCAAATAATTTTTTATTAGCAATTTAATTCATGTAATTTCAAATTTTGTTGCAATTTCAATTTCAAAGGGACTGAAATTGCGTTGAATTTTAAAACTAAAAACGACACTGAATCAAACCAACATGACTAAAATTGCAATTTCACCAATATTTTACCTCATTCACGTGGTTTTTTTTTGGTTATTAATTTATTATTATTACTATTATTATTATTATTATTATATTAATTAGTTATTTTGCTATTAATTTGACAGGATATCTTCAATTTCATGCTGGATAGAAGTGATGACGTCATATTCTCGAATGACACGTCAAGAAACCTGTCGTCGTCAGGACATAATTATTCATATTTCGATATGTTAGCGGGGCGACCGCCACGTGTCTTTAATTATACTCAGCTTGATAGCCTTATGAATAATGATGAGATGAAGCAAATGCTTCAGATACCAGAAGCAGTTCGGTGCGTCAGTTGTTATATATTAATTATTATTACTAATTAATTAATTATTCTCCATTTTTTTTTTAAAAAAAATAATAACTATTATATAATCTGGATGAAATATATGGTATATATGTGTTTGGTTTGATTGATTATGAATGATAAATTAAGGGGAGATTTTACGGTCCCGTTACGGAACCATTCCGTCAGAGTTTGTAACCGTTAAATTAACTATCCACGACCGTTACACGATGATCTAACAGTTACAAATCTCGACGAAATGGTTCCGGAACTGTAGCATTTCGCTTAATATGTGTGATGTGATAATATGTGTGTTGACAGATGGGTAGGACGATCCGTTACATCTCACCTTGCAATGAAAGGAAATTTCATGAAACCAATTACCACAAAGGTAAATTAATTTATTGTATATTTTTTATTTTCGTAACAGATTTTTTTTTTTTT